GGGGTAGCGAGCCTGTGTTTTAGTGGAAGTGGAGCGAGTACTGTGCCGAGATAGGGGACAGCTGGATGTGTTTCTGACCCTTGCTTGTTGTACTGGGCATCTTTGAGGCTCTCCGCCTCATGAAAATACCACCTTCAGAAATGCTGTGAAAGTAAACTACAACAAAATGGAAATTGGAAGCGCCCCCATTCATCCCGTCTTATTTTCAGGAGCAGGAAAAAAACATTGCGACGTGCGTTTGTGTCTGCGTTCAGTGCTTGTTCTCATGGCTGAGTGATGATATAGAGGCAGGCACAAAAATGAAGATGTATCCAAAATCCCCGTTTCCCATTCTGTCCCACCCTGGTCTGGGTTTCCAGACCTCTTCCTCCTCCTCACGATTGGATGATTCTTTGACTAATAATTTTTGCTGGATTTATTTTTTTGGAAGACTGGAAATTGAGCCAAAGTAGAGGAAAATAAATTAATTTTAAAAGCAAAGAAATAGCGAAAACAAAACCAGTGAGGGACTGCTTTGTAATTCCTGAAAAACAAGATAACTGGATCTGCCTTTTTGGCATGTTGAAGGGGGAAAAAAAAACCTGTATGCAGCAGTGGTAGCTCTGTAGTTATCCCTGAGGTGAGACGTGCCAAAGCAGGAACCGCATTAACGCATCTGCTTTGGTACCTGCTGGTTTCGGAGTTAGTAGGGTCGCTGACTTCACAGGGAAAAGCATTTGTGCAAATTTATTAAGCAATTTCATGTCAATTCTTAGTTGTCATAAACGAAAAGAAAACAGAGAGTAAATAATCCTTCTGCATGGTGATGGTTTAACCAGGATAAACCCATTCTGGAGTAACAGCAACATCTACTTAAGACCCTATTAGTTCTCACAAAATAAGTCAAAGGAGGTGCTAGTAAATGCAGATGGAATTTCTAGAAAGTGATGGTGAGGGCACAGATTTTGTTCTGTTAAGTCACTTCTTGCTCTCTCTTGATGTGCTTTTTGCAGCTTGATGTCTTTTCCCCAAGACTCCTGCAGTAGTTTGAAGTATTCAGTGGGTTGTTCTGCCTGCCCACTTATAACTCTGGAAAAGAGAGTGGTTATTTTGCTTATTTAAATCGCCCGTTAACATCGATTTAGGGTTAATGTTACCTTTTGCAGTCTTGGTGTCTCTGTTTCAAAGCCTGTGGAGAGGGCAGAGTATCGCTGCGAGAGGAACGGGAATGTCCCTGTCTTAATACACTGATTTTAGAGAGTTTATTTCTTTCTAGAACATGGTAGTTGTTCCAGGGAGTTAACGGGACCGATTGAAGTCTCTTAGAGATAATTTAGCAAGAGCTCAGAGAGGTTGGGATTCCCTGCTCTTCATTTCACATCATTCCTTGTTGCTTGGAAGAGCAGCGGTGGGTTGGAGACCTTGCGAGCCCCGTGCCAGCTTGCCCTGGGTAGTTTTGTGCATAAAGTCCTTGTAGAGCCGTGCGGGCTGCGGAAGAGGTGCAAAGGTAGATGGCAAATCTTCCTAGCATGGTTATTGTTGGGGTATTTTGGCCATGAAGATGGCACTGCATGCCGGAGATGACAGAAAACAGGGCAGCAGATATGACTTAAAAGACTTTTACAACAGCACAAGGGCTGTTTTGGGAGTTGAGCGTCACTCTGCTGATCGTACCTTTTGAAATTCGCCCTGAAGGGGAAATGGAAGTTAAGGGAGGAGGGGGCTTCGCGATGTTGGGAGAAAAATAGCCAAAAGAGGAGGAAGGAAACTGTGTGAAAGGACCCTTAGTCTGGACAGCCAGACAAGTGACCCATAACATCAGTTCTTGGATGAGTTGCATGGGGAGATGTTATAGCTGCACTGAATCACCGTTGAGTCCACCTTTTAAAATGGTATTGAAAAGTCAAAAAGAACTCAGGAAATAGCGTAAGGGGTGGAAATATTTTCCTGAGTATATAAAGCTCAGGCTGTACTTCTTCAGTCCATCTGTTAACACCATCTTTTTGTCATCTTTTTTGATCAAATACAAAAATGCCTTTGCAAGAAAAGAATACAGAGCTGTAAACAGATTTCCAGCCCATCAGAGAAAGTTATAATAAGGTTTTATGTTGGAAAGAAAGGCTAGATAAACTGGAAATGGGGTGATTCTTATCCCCCCCCCTTTTTTTTTTTTTGACTGGAACAAACTAGCAGGAAACTGTTAGGGCAGGTTGTCTCATATCTTCCAACTGGGTGTTTTGTTTAAAGAGATGCTATCGCTGGTCCTGTGCGATGATCAGAAATGGGGGGCAGGAGGGAGGCAGTATTCATACCTTCACTTCTAAATTTCCTCTGGAGGTTATTGGACAGAAAGATGGCTCCGTGAAGAGTTTTTAAGCAGGGGCAGGAGTGATATGAGTTGTCCCATGGTGCTCTGTTGGTTATAGGTCCCCTGGAATTGGCACCACACAGAGCTTTTGCACGTGACACAGAGGCCACGTAGGCGATAAGCATCCTCCTGGCGTGAAAGTCTAGGCCTTCTGTTATACAAGGTAGGACAAAGAAGGCATCAAACCAAATGGCCCCTTTCTACTCTGTATTCAATTTTTTTTTTCAATCTCTTAGGCCAAAGGAAAATTGCAACAAATCCTTATTGGTTAGGGGTAGAGGTTTTGGGGTTTTTTTAATGTATTATTTTCCCTTATTTGCCCACCCACTGTTATTAATATGCAGGGTAGTTGTGTGGCTGATTTCAAGTCTTCTCTTTCACCCTGGAAATAGAGGACTAACCTTCCTGAGTTATCTTTTTTCTTGAGATGCTTCTACCACCGTCAGCAAATTGTTTGCTGTGTGAATATATTATTGGCACCTTTTTTTTAACTAAGTGAAGGCTACTCTTTAAGGTTGGAAATCAATTCGGAAGGGAAATTGGTGGTGTGTTTAATAAGAGTTAGTGGTTTTATTTTCTTCCTCTTTATCATCAGAAGTGTAGAAAGCAATAAAATAATTGGGATGCAAAGGAAGACTTTAAATTCTGCTTTGTTTCTGTGGAAGTTACCTGTCAGTTTGGCTGCAAATCCTGGTTGATAAATATTAGAAGTTTGTGGGGGAACCTTCAGCTATGTCACAGGAGCACTGAAATGTTCCTTTTCAGATGTTTTATTTAAACATGGAAATACACGTGGATTCTTATCATCAGTAATTTGAAATGTAATAGGAGATATTAGGAAGAACTGAAGTCAAACTGCCTGATAATAGTTATTTCTCTCGTGCTCATCCGTGTTGAAGACATGATGAAATAATCCTTTTTTACAGGTAATTGTGGTTACCACCAGTCAAGGAATCCGCCCAGGAACATGAGCTGCCTTGTGTGTAAAGAGTACTGAATATTGTGTAGTTAAAGGTATTATTTGAAGATGCCTGGGAATAAAGGGCTTACCAGAAATATGTTTTCTATTCTTCATACTGTTACGTAGCTCCATGGTTTTAAAGAAAAAACTATTACCCCAAAAAAAGCTGTAAATATGTTCCAAGTCCATAATAAGGTTGCTTCTGTGAAGCGTGCAGGTCTGTGTCAGCCGGTGACGTGTGCTGGGGCTTAGACACCATCAGTAATAGCTGCACATCTGTTTACATTTAGTACGTCTTGATTTTAATGAGCTGGCTGCCTGGGAAGCAGGCTTTCTGGAGATAGCCACAGACGCGAAAATGGAGCGGAAGGACTATTAACACCTTTTACTGTGTCTTCCGTCTCCACTGGATTGGAAGAATAATAAAAAAATAGGATGAGTCTGTGTTTGAAGCTATTCAACGCTGCCTTCTCGGTCTGAATGTCAGAATAGCTTTCCAGGAACCGGAAAGAGCACAACCACAAATCTTCAGTAGCACCTAATAACTTCGGGTTTTCAGCAAACTGGAAGAGGGTGATAAAAAAGATGTATTGGCATCCTTGCCCTGCTTCTGTTGGCAGCCAGCTCTAACCCTGTCCTGTGATTCAGACGGTTTTGTTTCGATGGTGGTTGGACCGTACAGAAGTAAAACAGTAATGCTAATAACGTAGCCATCAAAATGTAGCTGGAAGAAAAATAATCTAAATCCTGCATTTTTAGAATGAGTTGTGATAGTTACAGTCAGCTTTCACAGCAGAATTACCCGGGTTCATCTGTTCTAATGTAAAAACATAAATATTTGTGATGTTTATAAGTCAAACACAACTATTAGCTATATACTTTCACAGTACTGTAGCTATGAATATTGCTAAAGTGGCACTTTAGAGCTTGCTTGGTAAAGCATGATGGCAAGGTAGAGAATTAAAGAAAGAAGTCCAAAGACCAGGTTTGGTTTTTTTTCTGAAGTACCATAGTCTTTGTCCAGTGGGGTTTGTTTCATTTTTACGTGTGTTTTTGTGTATGTTCTACTCTGTGTATATATTATTCTTGTTTTCTAAATGAGTGTGTACGATTATTTGGGGGAACAGGAATAAATGGCGGCAAGGGAAGGACTGGCAGCAAAAGGCAGGCATTTGGGGAAGCAGGAGCAAGAGGTGGCTCTTGTACGAGCCCTCGGGGCAGAGGTTTATTAGTGCGGGGAGAGTTTGGCAAGCGCAGGAGAGGAGGCGGCGTGAGCGGAGGTACGAAGGCAGCAGGCTGAGATGCCGCCATAGGTGTTCGTCAAGTAAGTGTATTGCTTCTATAGAGGAGGCTAATTGAGATGCAGAGGGAAAGAGGAGGGGGAGGAATTGCACTTCCTTCCCATATAGTACGGGATACATTTTAGGACGTCAACCCAGTCTCCCTTCCAAAAATAAAAATAACCCAAACAAACAAAAACCTGTGTTAGGGGGTTTGTCTCTAGGTCTGTCTCTAGCAGACAGACTTTCTTACATGGTGATGACAGAGGTAAATTATGCAGTGCGTTTCTTAAATTCATTAAGTTTGAGACTATGTCTACCTTACCAGCCTGCTTACGGCCAGGTCAGCTGACTTTACGAGGCTCTAGGCAGGCAGCAGAACAAACAGAAGTAAATCAAGGTTGTAATATTAAAAATGAAGTAATGCCATCCGTAGTTGGCTAAGTCACGTACTCAATCTCATTCCTCATTGCTAGTGTTGCACTGTCTAAACTTGAATTAGGAAGGGAAAAGACCGCTTCTGCTGTACGCTCCTGCAGGAGGATTAGAGTATTTTAAATAAACCCCAAACACTTCTCCTATATGACTGCAGGCTATGGCTATAAAGATCTTTTGTTTTTCAGTGATCTCTAAGCACTGAGCTGGGTACAGGAGTCTGATATTGTACCGCTTGTTTTCAATTCCCAAGACAACTTCAGTATAAAAGAAACAATTTGCACCCGTATCTGCAAGCTGTGGGTAGAATACCAAAGCCCAGAAGATGCGCTGGGAGCTGAAGCCTTGTCACCGCTAGGATACAGTGTGCTGTAGTTGATGCACATTTTGGAATTGACAGCTTGTGCCAGAACTGGCACCTTTTGAACTGACTTGCCAAAACGACATGGTAATAGCGAAGAGGAGAGGTCACCTGGACAAGCAGGGACCTGCAGATAACAAATGTGTCCTTTCAGCACGGAATTGGCCAGCTCGTGAGTGGTGGGAGAACCTGCGGGTTCACAGCTTCACTTGTGAGCTTCAGCCCCCCGGCAGCTGTAGGGCTTGTGCTCGGGGTGAAATACCCTTACCATTGACAAGGCGCCCGGCCGTGCCGTGCATCTTGGGGGCTTCCTTCGATGTACCTCCATTAAAATACCAGCCTGATTGATTGAAATGCCGAGCTAGTCCTGTTTACAGCTGTGACTTTGACCCCAGTGTAGGTACACACCTTGTTCATCGCTGCGCGAATGTCCATCTGCTTCCCTTTGAATTTTATGAACAAAGTGACTTGTAGTCTCATGGCTTTCCTACAGCTGGGAAATCCATAGCTCCTTGTGCTGTTTTGAGGACTCTTCTGGTGCACCTTGGTTTTGATGTTTCAGTCGGCATCTACGTGCAGGAAGAAATGGGTTGTTTCGGCCTCTATCGGTGTTGAGTCGTCATAGCTGGTTAAAAGATGATGGTTAAAAAATGGCTTTGACCAGGAGACTTCTATCCAGGGGAAGACGCAAGAGCTAGATGTCTTGTTGCCTCTTAAAGTGTGTGTTTCGCTCCCTTGAAGCACACGACGAAGGTAGAGGAAGCAACCTTAAATCATTAGCGTGCATTTGTCACGACATTAACAGGTTTTAAGAAGTATGTGTAATGGTTAGTTTTGGAGCACGATGCAATTTTATTCCCGGTCGCACATACGTAGCCTTAAATACAGCTGCTGCTTTACCGAGTAATTTAGCTGAGAACGAAAAAGCCATGAAGCATGCATCAGGCAGAGGTAGATTTCCCAGTATTTTAGAAGAACTGAAAATAAGCTTTTTCAAGTTAGAACTTTTAAATAGGACCACTTGCTAAAATGTCACCTTACATTTTCAGTGCTACTGTATAATCTGTTGCTTGTATAAGAAATTATATATTTCACTTGGGTACGTTTACGGGCATCCGTTGTCATCCACTCACAGTTGTCTAGTTTGGTGGAAACCGTCATTTTGAGGATGTTAAAACAAGGGTCTAATAATAGCTTAAAGAAGTCTTCAGGTCTTAAAAATATGTCCTCATTCCTCTGTTTATTGTTCTTTGGTTTCTGCTGTTAATTTTGGTGGATATTTATACATTAATAATGTTAGATTCATTATAACGAAGCAGCTGTTTCTCTTAGTTCGATGCTCACCATCAGATTCAGGTTTCAGATTAGAACTGGAGACAGTGAAGAAGGATATCAGATATTTCTGTATTTTTCTAAAATTTGCTTTGGAGCACAGGTTAATGCCCCAAAGCAGTAAATCCCAGAGTGACGCTGCCATTTTTTTTTTTAATTGAGAAGAGATACTAAAATCAGAAACATAGAGTAAGCATTCGTACAGTCTTATACACATATTCATTTTTTCCGCTGAAATTTCACCATCATACCAATTTTATCAATTTAATGTGAAATATCAAATTAATGGGAGATTCCCGGACTTAAATAATACCCTTTTTCTTATGCCGTGAATAAGTGCTGGCGTGGTGGGAACCATGGCAGGGAGTTGTAAATTCTGTGAAATTAAAAACGTAATGAAACGCTGCAAACCCCACCCGCAGAGAGAGCGGGCAGCATTTTGGATAACGATTGTTTCCGTGGCGTTGCGCACGGTGGAGCGTATAATTTGGGAAGCTCCGCCATCCCCGTATTTAGGAAGGAGAGCTCTTTCTCTGCCCCTCGCATGCAAAAACTGAATAATTGAAGTGGATGTTAATAGAATTTTAGAAAAATAGCTGGAATTGGTTCCAGCAGCCCCCGAGGCAGGAGCAGCTCCGGCTGTGTCCTTGCTGGTTTACCTCGCCTGGTCTCAGCCACCACCAGTGCTGGGTACGTAACTGCCGTGGAAAATGCTCTTTCCGTTCTTCGCTACCCTTAGAGGCCAAATTGACCCAGCACAAATGACTTTTTACAGAAAGATGCGCTAGAATTTTTAAAACCTGTTCTGGGGATGGCAGTAAGAATTTGGGGGGTTTGCAAGATTTGGGGGGGTTTGCAAGATTTGTTTTTTTTTGGGGGGGGTTGCAAGATAGGAGTAATGTGTGAACGTATTATTTTAGATATTTTAGATATTTTATAGACAGAAAAATACCTTTAATTTCTTGTGATACCAAGAAATTTCCCCAAAACTGCATGAGGCTGCTCCCACTTTGTGCAAGGATTGTTCCTAGCTCTTATTTCCTCAGAAGAAAATAAATCTCCTTCAAAACCCTGACTCAGTGTTGCCAACAGCTTTGATGGAAGTATCAAATACTCCATAGTATGTGCTAAAAAACTTGTAGAGCAAGAAATGTATAACAGAGCTTAATTTTATTCCAGGCTGAATTCCAATTTTTTTTTTTAAAAAAAAAAAAACAACAAAAAAAACCCACAAGAAAAAATAAAAAAAATCCAAAGGACCCCCGCCCCCGGTGTCTGGGCATGCCAGCGCTGCCTGCAGCAGGCGGGGAAAGAGGAGCTTAATAGCGACGCTTTTTCTATTTTTCTTTTTGTAGGTTAATTCGGTAAGAACGGGATTGGGGAAAAAGTGCGTTGTTCCAGTGTCTTGCCCCATGCCCGCTGCATTAGCTCCTGGAGCTTCACCGTCCCCGCCAGTGCCTATGCCAGGGCCTGCCCTCTCTGGCACAGTGACACCTTGTGTGATGCCTCTTTGTCAGTACGGAGGAGTTTTCCCTACACCTGTTTACGGAGCGCAGTGGTCGGGGCCGGCCGTGCAGCCCGGGATTGTCGGAGGTCCGAGCGTTGCACGGTTCTCGCCTCTCGGCAAAACCTGCTTGCAGATGTACCCGGTGCCGCTGCAGCGACCCGCTGCCGAGACGCCTGGCCCGCGCCTGCGAATGACGTAGCTCGGTTGCCTTGCCATAGGTAACGATGATTTCAGCGTTGTCACGTGGAGTGTTTGATCTGTAGATGCCATCCGTGTTGGACGAGGCGGGGGTCCGGGTCAGGCCCGCTAGCATACACAGCCATACACTGCATCCAGCAATCACTGTGAAATGGTTTCACAAAAGATTAGTTTGTTTGTTCCGGCAATATTTGCTTATATTTCATCGCTGAAGACACTTTATTCTGTTGTGTTCTGATGTTTTACACTTGCAATCCTTAAAGTCGATGTACTTGAATTGATGACTAGAAAATTGTACTAACCCCTGCAGGAGTACAGTGCCTTGAATTTCAGCTTTTCAGTTCCAGCTGGAAAGAGATGTAAAATTATTTGAAAGGTGTATTTTATTTACAATCTGCTTGTGAGTTGAACTTCTTTTTATTTGCAAAGATACTGAAGGTTTACAGTCGATGTTCTTCATCGGTTTCATTCTGCTGTAAATGCTTTTATTTTAATTCATGGGTTGAATTTTCATTTCTCAAGCTTTTAAAAAAAAAAAAATAATTGTGAGGTGAGGTTTGTTTGAGATGCCGATCAAAAACTTGTTTGTGTTTGTACAAGGAGTAGTGAAACGCACATTTTAAAATAGGAGCATTTACAGAGCGATCCAAGTAAGTTGTATATAAGGACAGGTAGTAGCTTCGGGCAGTGCAATTCATTCTCTTCCCCAGTCTTTGGTAAAGTTGTGGTAGACAGCAATCTATTTCTCTAGCAGGCAGGCAAATACTGTTTTCTTCTGGATCGGCAGCAAATTGGATTACATTTTCCTTCCCCTAGTGGGCTTTTATAGTTTAGTTAAATTACAAATTCATGCATGTTTCATAAGTGAAAAAATCTAACTGAAATCTTGATTGTAGGAGAACACGTCTCCAGGTTACTGTAAGAACCGTGTAAGTACAGCGCTTGTGTGTATTCTGGCTTCGGTTCGCCCGTCCAGGTCAAGAACGGTGTTTTGCCACTGACGTGCTAGCGGTATTCACGCTAAAACAGATAAAAACGTGAAGCTGTTCTTTTTCATATCTGATACTACAGTTTTGGAGTCTCACCACCCTTTGTTTGAAAACTTGGTTTTGTTTTGGTTTGTTTTTTTTTTTTAGTTTCAATTAAGTTTGCGCTCTAGGTGGCATGGACACCTCCCTCCTGTTTGAAAGTTGCTTTTTGCCCGTTTCACTGCGCGTAGAGTCTCCATCTGCACCCCGCAGTCTAAAGGCACAAGAGAACCACTAAAACTGATTTGCTGATGGTAAGTCTCTTTGCACCAGAAAGCACTAAGGGAGAGCATTACAGGCAGAGGTCACGAACCACGCGGTCACATCCGAAGGCACGTTGCTCTGTATCTCTACTGCGATGGCATTTTATACTGTCTGCTGAAGGGCAGAGATGTCTTGTGCTGCCAAGCTGTGAATTGTATAGTTCTATTGTACTTTGAGCATTATATCTGTCTAAATTATTTTGTTTGTACCCTTTGAATATATTATTCCATCAATTCAGTTAGAATTGAATTTTATAGACAATTATGCAGAGTCTTCTGCCTGGGCAAAATACTTACTGTAGTAAGAGATTTCTGTTCTCTGTAACATGTATCTTTAATTTGTTTGGGTTTTTTAGATTCATGTCTGTATGCTTCATGAGCAAACATGTAAAATATGTTCTCACAGCAGTTTTCCTTCGGCTTGCACTGAATCTTACAGTTTATGTCGCTATTGCCTGTTGTATAGTCCATCCCTTGTATACTGACAAAGTCAGTGGCACTAAAAACCCCGAGAAATTGTATAGATTAAAAAGAAGAAAAATAAACATTTTGTGCTTGAAAATTGTGTGAAAAACCCAGTGTTTTTCTAAAACGTAGAACTGTGTCCATTCCCAGCTGTTCCGGGTAACTCTACGTTTGTTTTCCAGACTCTTATCCCTTGGCTTGTGTAGAGGAGCAGATGTGATGCCTCCACTGTTTCTCAGGTTCTGCCCGTAACTGACACGTCCCACCTCTTGGCAGCGGTAGAATTGAAACGGTGCTCCAGAAGTCACGTAGTGCCACCTCGCAGATTACGTTGCTTGAAATCCCCTGCCCGCCGCAGTATTTCTGGTGTTACGCTGCCGCAAAGCAGACCAGACTGGAACATTAGATGGGTTCCTTTAAGCAGATGGTATCTTCAGTACTGCTGGTGGTACACATGAGGATGCTAGAGTTTGGTAGGTGGCGAAAGAAACACGTGGACTCTGCCTCTCCTGCACGGAAAAGCGCTAGGGAAGCCCTTTTAACTTTATCCTGGCATCACTTAAATGTGAGGAAGCAAAGATATGAAATTCGGCCCCGATACAAGCACGCTCTTGGTGGTCGCCGTCATTGGTGTAGGCTGCAGGAGAACTTAGGAAAGGGCGTGCTGGAAGAGGTTTGATACTTCTGCTTCTGTGTTCCCGTGCATCCGACCTGTGCGGCTTTGCTGTATGTGCTGCATACGTTCAAGCCTGCGATGTGTGCTGCAGCTCGCTGGGAGTCCTCCTCTCCCAGGCCGGCGGCTGCGTTGCATGCGCTGTGCAGCCAGGCAGAGCCGGCGGCGGGGGCAGCCTGTGTGAGCGAGGCTTAAATGCAGCTTCCAGATTTCTAGCGGGTGTGTTCCGAACTGTTGCATCTTTAGCTGGTATCGGGGCCAAGTAATGGCTCAGAGGTTGATATTTGCATTTCAGTATTCATGATTTTAATTTTCTGATAGCCGTCTTGGCTGCAGTTCTCCTGACTGTTAACTTCAAGCTATGTTTTGTTACCCTCCATCGCGCCGATCGTGTCAAAGGGTGCTTTGAGCCTCGGTGGCAATTAAGCAAATGACATGAGATGAAATAAATGGGACAACTTCTTGAGCAAAAGGTGAGCAAAGGAGCGAGAGGGACCTGAGGGGTCTGTGCTGCACCATCGGAGGTGGGGGGTCTGTACCCAAAAAGACATTTCCCCTGCAGATCCCAGAACTGAACTGATTTTATTCCTGACTCTGAATACTGCTTTGATGTGCAGCAAGCAGGGGTCAAACCCGCTGGGCAGAATTCCTTACCTCGCTGGCTGCAGGCCTGCAGCTGTGTCCCGTAGCTCTGCCATCTCCTAACGTTCCCAGCGCTGCTCTGCAAGGACGCGTGTGAAGTCAGTACGGATCCTCAGCTTTAAATACGAGGCTTTAATGGGGGAGTTCGCAGATCCCCTGATTTTCAATCTTTTAGAAGTTATAGAAGCTTAATACAAATATTGAAAGAATGTTTTAAACTGCCAAGTCACGCACCCAGTAGTTCAGAAACGCCAAATTAAGTTTGCCCATATGCCATTAATTTGGCTTTCCGATTGCTGTACATCGTGATGGAGTATCTAAATGCGTAATCACATCCTGTTTTCCCACCGCATCCCCGGCTTGCTTGGAGCGGGGCTGGGCGGGGAGGAGAGCCGCTGCCGCCGGCGCTGCTTGTCTGCCGCGGGGATGCAAAGTGGGGAGCGGGAGATGGCAGGGAGAAACACTTTAGCGGTTTAAGGCTCTTCTGCAAATCCTGATTCAACCTCCCTTCATTCAAGAGAATGACGTAAAATTGTCCCTTGCAGTTTCTTTGCATGTTTAACTCTGGTCTTCATTCCACAACTTTAAAGAGGAAATACTATTACTATTAGGAAACTATTACTTTACACCTATCTCCAAAGTGCTCCTTTTTTGCTCTCTACTGTATAACTTCTTTACTTTTCTCTGAAACATTTGACATTGGCTGGTGTCAGAGACAAGATGAGGGATTAAATAGGCCAAATGTGGCAGCCTCTTTGCTCCTACAGAGAGATTCATGTTCGGGAATAGGGCACGCTCATGCTAAAAGGCAGTATTTCTGAAATGAACTTCTTAATCAAGTTGCAGGTTTTGCCATTTGGTATTTGTGGAAGGAAATCCCTAATACTTTTGAATCAGTCATTAGTTTAACTTGGTTTTGTCAATAGTTGCACTTTCCCTTCAAGCATTTTTTTTTTTTTTTTTGTGGTCCCAGTGCACTATTTTAAATTCCGAGAACATTCAGAATTTTTCCAAACAAGCCCCGTGGACTTAGGGCTCGCTGGGTCCATGTCGGTATTGTTCAGTTAGCGCATGTTTGAGTAGGAAGAGCGTCCGTCCTCCTATGTTCTTTGGAAGTTGGATTTGGAGAGTTGTAATCAGAAGTCTCCCTTCTGAAATGTTTTGACCTCAGCATTGCTTTCCCCATCCCCCCCCTAATTAAGCAAAGGGTTCAAGTCTTTTTGAGTAAGACTCACGCCTCCGATGTTAGCTAATATGGCAAAAACCTATCTAGTTTTCTGCCTTGCTGCCAACTAGCCCCCACCTGAGTTTTCAATAGATGCTGTTGAAAGTGTTGGCTTGAAGACAGAAGTCACAAACGAAATAATTCATGACTATGTTTAATACCTTAGTAAGGTTTCCTTGCCTTCTCTGGGTCCTCGTCTGCCCTTCTCAGTCCCCGATTTCTGGTGATGTTCGTGGAGGGTAGCGGCGCTGCAGAGGTGTATGGTTGCTGAATGTGGGCAAGGTCTCTGCAGAGTACGCGAGCAGGGAGTTCATGTGCTCTTCGTTGTCACGGATGGATGAATATCTTGCTATGGGATTGAATTTATAAAACAGCAAAACCATAATCGCGTGGAATTTCTTGCCCTGGTTACTTATTATTGCCTGAATCCTTGATGAGCATTTCTTTGATTTGTGGTGTTGGGCTGGGCTTGGCTGGCGCTTAGGCAGGCTGAGCTTCAGTTGAGTATTTGGGCAAGCTGCCTGGTGTGCTGATCCTTGTTGTGTTTCTTCTGAAGAAACCTGGTAAATACAGTTATTTTCCTGTCTATATACTCCTGAAATGAACCGTTGATCAGATGGGAATTGTGTTGTGACTTACACACGTCGGTGACTTTTGACTGGGGTGATACTTGCTTTTTTCAGGTAGGTCTGTTTGTGGAGCCGTCCCTGCAGATGCAGCAGGAAGGTGATGTTCCAGCCCTGACCGTGCTGGTTCTTTTATTAATGCAGATAAGCTCCAGAAATGCAACATAATGAAATGGATTTTAGGAGCTGTCAGGTCACAAATTCTGCATTATGAGAGAATTTGTTGCTCAGAGGGATGTGGATGTACTGTGATGCTGACGTTAGCTGTGTCGGTAAATAGATTACTTGTAACTGATTCATCTGAAAGTCAAGCTTGTACCAGGAGGCAGCAACTTTTGTAAATTATGTGGTCCTTTCTGCCTTTTTTTTCCAGAGTGACAGTTGTAGTGTACTATCAGGACTGCTGCTACATACGCTTGGATCTATATTTGACTATAAAACTTCTCCCTTGAAATAACTTTCACATGAAGAGTTTAGAGGCTGCGTAATTCAAGCTTTCAGCCTTACATGCAAAGCCTCATTAAGCTTTAGATTTTGCTCGGTAAGTGTGGGGAAGCTATCCATGGAGGACGACCTGCTATTTTGATAAAGTATCAGTTATAACAGTGAAATTCTTGTGACAAGTTCTTGGTTTTTCAAAGTCTGGTGAGCAAGGGGAGCTTGGGTTAATATCTTTTGGTGTAGTGCCACTGGGGGGATTCACGGCATATATTTAGTGGTGTTGTATTTGCACATTAACAAGGCAGAAGGAAAAGTTAGGGGTTCCCCCCCCACCCCCCTGGAAAGATCCCCATACTTTGCCTTTCACTATTGAGGCACCGCTGAGTGCAGCTACGGCACCATTGCTCTCGAGGAGCTTCAAGCGACAGGATGGGCATGGTGAGCCACTCTTCTGGGGACTTTTTTGTGTCTATCGTAGTTTTTCTGAGCTATTCAGGGCTTTGACACATTGTAAAAACCTGGGAAATTTAAGAAGAAATAAGCGGCTGCCGGTCCTTCTCAAACGGGTGTTCTTTAGGTCTGACGTAAAATACCCCAAAAAAGAATTTACTCGTGTGTTGTTGTTTTTTAATTACTTTGCAAATAAGGTAAAAACTTCCTCAGCATTCGGGTTTTGTTTATCAGGCCAGATAGACTATATCTAATATCATTCTCACTGTTAGTCAGCAGCGACAAGATGTGTAATCACTGCCTTTCTCCCCATAGTTCTCCCCAGCACCGGGAGAATTTTGAGTATAACTGAGTTCGCTGATCTCTCCAGTGCTGTTGCCCTTTCAGTCTTTGATTGAAAGTTCGGATGGACTTCAGAATAAGAAGTCGAGAGGTTGTCCTTGGGACGTGGGCTAAGGATCTGCGAGGGTTTGTATGAAGAGCCGGGCACCTGGAGAGCGTGCTCTGGTTTTGGTTTTATGGCTGACCTGGGGTGCGACCAGGGGTCAGGCCCACTGCTGTCTTAAGGCTTTTCCCCATTACCTGGAGATAGTTAATTTTGTCTTATTTTGTTTTTCTGGATTAATTTCTGTGCCAAATGCTGGTTATCAATAGCGAGCAGATGTTGAGAACGGTGGTGGATTCAGTTGGATGTACAGAACTGATGTTGGTCAGAAGCTCAGGGAGTAATTACGATCAAGACACGATTTTACATCCTTTAAAAGCGATTCTTCCTACAAGCAGGCAGAGCAAGAAATACGGGAGGGAGGAAATTGGGACCGCATTTAATAAAAGCAAAGCCTAACACGTGGAGACCCACCAGGAGCTATGCCAAACACAGACGACGTCTGTTTGCACAGTGCGCTTTTCCCCGATGTCCCTTGCCCCCCTTGCTGTTCTAAAAGACTCACTGCGTTTTTTCTGAAAGCATCTAGCAAACCGTATGCTATATAAAACCCTTACATGCTTGCAGATCCAGTAACAGCGTGCATGCTTCCGTGCCGTAGAGTGAGGGGCTTTGGTGCGTGTCACTGTGAGCTTGTCACCAGCACAGCCAACGCATACCGGTGGGGCACGTACCGCGGGATGCGGGGGACGCGTGGCGGCACCCCGTGTTGCTGCTGCTCCAGTCTTGTGCTGTGCTCTCGGTGCCCTCATTGCGTGTTATTCTGGTACTGTCATTTCAAGCCCTCGGCATCTCTGCACCCTTTCGCGTCTGGCCGGCCATCTCGCCCTGCGGTG